TGAAAAACAATAATAGGGCTCACTGTTTAAAATAACAGGCCAGGCGTAATTTTATATAAAATGTACTCATATTTTCTTGAGCAGGTAAATATGATGCGCATGCAGTGGTATTGATCCCCCACTTATACGATATCAATGAAAGGTATGGTTAACAGATATCATCACAGCAAGGTGTATTCAGGACCAAAAACAGAAATGAAAAACAATAATAGGGCTCACTGTTTAAAATAACAGGCCAGCCGTAATTTTATATAAAATGTACTCATATTTTCTTGAGCTTAGTATATTCAGCGTAGGTGGCATAATCCCCACCTGGGATTCTTGGTGAGATCCTCAAAATGAAAGAGTCAGTTAGAAGTTGGCTCTAGACTGTACAGGCATTTCATCAACCTCAGGTTGATGCAGGGTAGAATACTTCACGTGCCAGGTCCCTCAGAAAGCAGCAATGTTTCTTTTAAAGGTAGCCAGGAACCAGATGAAGTTAAAAATCTCTTTATTGCACGTAAAACAAAGTGAAACTATAACAATACTTGCACAACGTGTTTCGACCAAACTTGGGGTCTTCCTCAGGTGCATATGCATTTCCCATTTGACCTCTTCCTTCCATATTTTGGTGCACCCTATTACCTTGTTTTTCTAAGATTGTTTAGGGTTTTTTTGAGAAAATTTCCCTTTCTAGGTGTGCTGCCCCAATCATTCCCTTCTTAATGAAGATATGTTTGTGTTTTTTAGAACTATCATGGTTTTTTGTTTTTTTTTGGTTAAATTGACATACAAGACATTGATACTTCCATACTGTCTGCAGCAATTTGGTTTAGCTAGTAAGTCCACCTTTTTATCCTTGCATTAGAGACCAATCTGTGGCATTGATATGCTCCACCAATTTGGTTAATTGAATGTCTATTTATTTTTATACCATTCAAGTATGCACTAGGATTAATAAAATCCTTGTGTGGCTGAAACATCATCTTTTATCTTAGCAACTCAAATAAAGGATCATTGAATTTAAGGATTGTGCTGGCCTTTTTGTTGTTGTTGTGGTGTTTCTTTACAATTTATAATGGAAATGTGTAAATTAGCCATTCCCCAAATGGACAGAATGTCAGTAATAATTATTTTGCCACCAGCAATGGATTTTTTTGTTATGACACCAATTTTTATTATGTATTATGCCTGTGTCTGAGACACTGCTGGAATGTCCAATGGTAGAAAGCACTGGAAACAACATTATGTATGTTTATTGGAGAAACATGTGCAATGTTTTTTGCTCACACAAGAGCATTTTTAAGCTGTCACTTGTGGATTAGTTTTTATGACATATTTTCTAGCACTTAGTCAAATAAACTTCATGGAAAATTACAATCAGGCTTTTGCTACACCAATTCTGCATTATCTTCTATAATCGAATATGAAGAGCATATGTTTGGCAGAATATTGTGTTAAAAATCAACACTTTAACATATGGGGCTGCACCGTTCCTATGGAACTCACTTCCCTCCTCCGTTAGATGCTCACCCAGTCTCCACTCCTTCAAAAAATCATTAAAACCTACTTCTTCATAAAAGCATACCAATTAAACTGTTAATAGCTCCTGATTGATTCCTCTCTTGCAACTGTCTTTAGTCTAATACTATCCTTACCTTTTGTGTCACTTTACCCACTCCCTCTAGAATGTAAGCTCATTGAGCAGGTTTTCAACCCCTCTGTTCCTGTGTGTCCAACTTGTCTGGTTACAACTACATATCTGTTAGTCCACCCACTGTAAAGCGCTACAGAATTTGTTGGCGCTATATAAATAATAATATAATAATAATAATATGCTCTGTAAATCTTAGTAAACTAAGGAGAGGACTTGACCTTGGCCAAAATATACTCCCAACTATTGCCGACATAAGGTCTTATACACAATACAGTCATTAACATCACTGAATAGCTATTTATTTAGAGTATTTTTTTTCTATCCAAATGCAATATCCTCAAACATTGCAACAGTAAATTCTTCTATGCATGCGCCACAATATTTTGTGTATGCTCATAAAAAGCTTTGAAATACAACATGGAGTTTAACTGATAGAAAACACATGACAAAGTTGAGTGAAGTTCAACACTGCTATAGCTCACAGTTGTAGGAAAAGTTGAGAATATTGTGTTAGACATGGGTATAGCCGAGGTCAAAAAGCACCTGGGACTTGAGCAAAAAAATGATTTGGTGATCCCTTTCTAAAGCCCTATTACTGCCCCCTCCCCCCCAATTACTCCATTTAATATGGCACTTGGCAGACTCACAGTTACTTAGAGACACAAAACAGATTAACATACACATGCATAAACACAAACACAGGCAGACACAAACAAGTACACAGTCACATATAGGCATACACAGACACAGAGAGGCACATACAATCACAGACAAGCACACACAGACACCAACAGACACAGACAGGCACCTAAAGATACACACAGGCACATAACGGCATAGACAGACATAAATAGACACAGTAAACTACAGATAAGTACACACAGGAATACATATACATACAGGACCGACGCTACCATAAGACGGCCTTAGAGCACATTGGCCCAAGTGGTGCAAAGATATCCAAGTGACCAGTGGTAGATGGAAGCACAGAAGAACCTCTCTCCTGCCAGTAATTCTCTGTAGCAATGCCCTTGTTACTAGTTTACCTACCTGGCTGTGTGATGGGAAGAAAAAGCGTGTAACCACAGGCAGGAGGGGGAGCAGTGAGGAGCGGCCACTTCAGAAGCTGAAGACCGCTGGGATACATGACATCATTTCCCAGCAACTGAGTGCTGTTAAGAGAGAAGCAAAGATTCTACAGTGCAGCAATTCCGAACACCTTTTTAATAATGGTAAACAGTAAGTGTGTGTGTGTGTGTGTGTGTGTAAGAGCCAGTGCATGTGTGTTTAAGAGCCAGTGCATGTGTGTGTAAGAGCAGGTGTGTGTGTGTGTGTACGAGCTGTTGTGTCTGTAAGAGCCAGAAAGATTATACAGTGCAGCAACTCCTGATGGGACCCCTTTGTAATAATGGTAATAAACAGTAAGTGTGTGTGTGTAAGAACCAGTGTGTGAAAGAGCCCGTGTGTATGTGTGTAAGAGCCAGTAAGTGTATGTGTGTAAGAGCCAGTATGCGTGTCTGTAAGAGCCAGTAAGTGTTTGTTTAAGAGCCAGTGAATATGTTTGTGTAAGAGCCAGTGAGTGTGTATGTAAGAGCCAGTGAGTGTGTGTGTGTGTGTGTGTATGTGCGTGCTTGAGAGCCAGTGAGTGTGTGTGTAAGAGCCAGTGTGTGTAAGATCCAGTGAGTGTATGTGTGTGTAAGAGTCAGGGAATGTGTGTGTAAGAGTCAGTGTGTGTAAGATCTAGTAAGAGTATGTGTGCATGCAAGAGCCAGTGAGAGTGTATTGCCCCCTGAGTAAATTAATGTTTGACACAAGAGGGTTAAAAGACCACAACATTGGCATCTAAGCATAAAAAGAATGACAAACGGTATACAATATAGTTACATAGTTGCATAGGCTGAAAAGAGACACGTGTCCCTCAAGTTTAGCCTTCCTCACAATTGTTTTTTGTTGTTGATCCAAAAGAAGGCAAAAAACCCAGTTTAAAGCACTTGCAATTTAAAAAAAATTCCCCCTTGACCCCAGAATGGCAGTCAGATGTATCCTTGAATCAAGAAGCTATTACCCTACAGCTGAAAACTTATCATATGAATATTCTGTTTTTGCAAGTATGCATCTAGTTGCTGTATAAACATCTGTACAGACTCTGATAAAACCACTTCTTCAGGCAAAAATTCCACATCTTTGTTGTTCTTATGGTAAATAAACCTATCCTTTGCTTTAGACAAAATCTTCTTTCTCCCAGTCTAAACACATGACCTGGTGTTCTATGTAGAGTCCAGTTTGTGAATAGATTTTCACACAATGGTTTGTATTGGCCCCAGATGTATTTCTATAATGTTATCATATCCCCTCTTAAATTTGTTAACCTTTCTTCATAGCTAAAATGTTTCATTGCTTTAATTAATTTTGTAGCCTGCCTCTTTACTTTTTCTAGTGCCGTAATATCCTTCTTTAGAACAGATGCCCAAAATTGCACAACATATTTAAGATGTGGTCTTACCAGTGATTTCTAGAGGCAAAATGATATCCTCTTCCCGAGAATTAATGCCCTTTTTCATGCATGACAATACTTTACTGGCCTTAGCCACTGCTGATTGACATTGCACATTGTTGCATAGTTTGTTGTCTATAACAATTCCCAAGTCCGTCTTGTGTGTTGTTAGCCCTAATTCACTTCCATTAAGGGTATAGGTTGCTTGTGCATTCTTTACGCCAAAGTGCATATCTTTGCATTTTTCTACATTAAATTTAATTTGCCATTTTAGTGCCCAGTCCCCCAGCCTATCTAAATCCCTCCGCAGCAAAGAAATATCTTGCTCACATTGTATTACTTTACAGAGTTTTGTATCATCTGCAAACACTGAAATTATTTTTTCAAGATCATTTATAAACATGTTAAATAAAAGGGGTGCCAGAACAGAACCATGAGGGACACCACTTGCCACTTTTGTCCAGCTTGAAAATTTACCATTAATGACCATAAAATTAACTATTTGTACTCTTTTTGTAAGCCAATGTTCTACCCAAGAGCATAAACTTTCATTTAGACCAATTTCTTTGAGTTAGAACGCTAATCTGCTGTGTGGAACTGTATCAAACACCTTGGCACATCCACTGCAACACCCTGATCTATACTTCTACTTACTTTTTCATATAATGCAATCAAGTTAGTTTGACATGACCTGTGCTTCATAAGGCATGCTGTGTTTTGCTGATAACCACATTCTTCTCAAGGAATTCTTGAATAATATCCCTTAATAACCTTTCAAATACTTTTCCAGCCACAGAAGTTAAAGAACCACTATAGTGCCAGGAAAACATACTCGTTTTCCTGGCACTATAGTGCCCTGAGGGTGCCCCCACCCTCAGGGTCCCCCTCCCGCCCGGCTCTGGAAGGGGGAAAGGGGTAAAAACTTACCTTTTTCCAGCGCTGGGCGGAGAGCTCTCTGCCTCCTCTCCTCCTCCGATCCTCCTCCGTTACGCCCCGCCGGCTGAATGCGCACGCGCGGCAAGAGCTGCGCGCGCATTCAGCCAGTCTCATAGGAAAGCATTTACAGTGAGAAGCACGCAAGCGCCTCTAGTGGCTGTCAATGAGACAGCCACTAGAGGGAATAGGGGGAAGGCTTAACCCATGAATAAACATAGCAGTTTCTCTGAAACTGCTATGTTTATGAAAAAATGGGTTAACCCTAGAAGGACCAGGCACCCAGACCACTTCATTAAGCTGAAGTGGTCTGGGTGCCTAGAGTGGTCCTTTAAGCTCGCAGGTCTATAATTTCCAGGCAAGGATTTTCAACCCTTTTTGAATATAGGAACCACATCTGCCTTCCTCCAATCCTCCAGAACACTTCCTGAAAGAAAAGAAAAGAATCTTGAAAAATGAAAAACAGAGGTTCACTTATTTCTACACTTAGTTCCTTACGTACTCGTGGATTAATACCGTCAGGCCCTGGAGCTTTGTTTACATTAACTTTCTTTAGTTGCTGTAGCACCTTTCTTGAGTTAGCCAATTACACTTTTTCTGCAAGTTTTTTTGCAGCAATCATTTGCATATCTAATGCATATCTATTGTCATAGGTTCTTCCTTAATATATACAGAGGAGAAATAGTTATTTAAAATCTCTGCCTTTTCCTGGTCTTCATTAACTAACACCCCCATTCCGGTTTTAGTGTACCTGCAATTTATGTAAAAATCTATATAACAAAGGTACACACAAATAATAAAATAAAATAAAAAGCAGTTACATACACCAATAAGCGACTTAATGAGCTATGAACTCAGTATAAATAAATAGGTATGTGCGCTTTTAAATACAAACCTAGACAATATAGAAAAATACTTAATCTTTTAATAATGACAATATATATATAAAAATAATCAATTAATAAAAACAAGCTGTTTCCAATCCTCCACGTTAGATCTAACTAGACAGGAATACTTTGAAATAAAGAGATACATATAAACATAGCAACAATATGTAACAATAAATAACAGTGGTAATCTCTACCAAATACCTCCACAAAACAATTGCCACTTGATGATGTATTAAAAACAAGTATATTCAAGGCAATTCAAAAATATATAAAAAAGTAGTGGAGATAGTTGGACAAAAAATATAAACAACATAAACATAAAAATAAAAAATAAAGATAAAAATACAGAAATAATCAAATAAATAAAACTAATAATAATAAATAAAAATGACTGTAAAAAGTACCTGACCTCGGTGTGGGCCCCCAACCAGAGGTAAAGATAATAGAAATAAAAATAAAATTTGAATGTCCAGAAAACCTCCCAGAGACGCTGGATATGAATAATGGAGGGCAGCAAACAAACAACGAGCAGCCAAAATCACCTTATTTAAGGGACCCCAGCACCCTAATACCGCAGTCGGGATCTTCAAAAAAGACAGCGGTAGGGGTGAAATAATATAAAAGTATAGATGCAGGGAGATGGATATAAATCAAAAAGCTGCCCGAATTGTGAGTGCCCTTGTAAATTTACCGCGATC